TTAGAAAATAAATAAAAATATATTGTTTATTGTTATGCAATTAATTACACAAGATAAAAATATGTAAATAGAAATGTATAATTTTATATTACATATTTCTAGAATAATAATAAATAAATTAAAAATTATAATTATAATTAATAATAAAATTATAATTAATAAATATAAAAAAAATATAAAAAATAATAATTAATAATAAAATTTTGGTAATTATTTAAAAAATGATTATCTTATGTTTTGATGTTTTTTTAATATCTTGTAGAAATCAATATTTTATAGAATTTTGAATAGCGAAAATATATAATGGATGGATTAATATCAATGGACTATAATAACTATTTGCAGTTTTAGTAATTCTTTAAATCGGAAAATAATAAATAAAATAATCTTTGAATGAAATTACTTAATGATAACAATAATAATAATTTAGTATTTGTCGTTAAAATTATATATTCATTTTAATTTTATATATTCATTTTCATTTTAAATCAAAATTCGGCATTTCTTTGCCAGATTTTGACCATCGTTGATTTACATGCTGCGTTTACTTCTTCATATTTATTTCCCTTCTTTGTTAAGTCATTCGAAAATTATATATATATAAATAAATTCAATTAAAAACATACACTATCTTGCATACGAGAATTTAATTATTTTCAAATTTGATTAAATTTTATCATATATTTTATGATTAACTATATACTTTAAAATATTTTTTTAATGATAAAATTAATTAATACAAAAAAAGAAAGATAAAATTAAATAATACAAATTAAAAATATTTATTATAGCAATTTATGAGCAAAAAATAAAAAGAAAATAAAGAGAAGGATATGTGGAATCAGAATTGTCGAAAAAAACGCATATAAAAATTTAAAATCAAAAATATCTATATCTTTTATATTAAAAAGTCAATATACATTATAATTTTGAATGAATGATGTATTCAATTATATTCCTCGTCTATGCGCGACAAATGTATAAACAAGAAAAACAAATCATAGAGATAGGATAAGAATTGATTATCAGTGATATCTTTTGAATATTAAAGATATCTTAAATATCTTTCGTTTATTCCAAATAAGAGATAACATTGATTCTCAATTCTTATTCTATCTTATTTAGTCATTAAAGAAATGTCATTAATATTCGAGAAAATTATTTTTTATCCTATTTATAGTCACAGAATTGAATTTACAGAATTTGAAACATGAAAGTTGTGACCATCATAGAGTGCACATCAATATCGATTTGTTCCAATCAATAAGTATATATATGAAATTTTCTTTTAAATTATTCTTTAGCATGAATATTTAATTCCATCGTAAATTTCTTACGTTCCTTGTTTAATTTATCTTAAATGTAAATCTTCTAATTCCAAGTTGCTTGCAACTACCCTTTAGTTAAATAACTTTATCCCGACCTATTGATTTTATCTAACATTATCCTTAGATCTCTGGATCACGAAAATTCATTCAAAGATAGAGATTGATGATCAAGAAAAATAAATGACTTCAAATCTAAGCATAAAAATATATAATAAATAGAAAAAATGCGTTATTCTAAAAATCATATAACTTCAAAAAAAAATTGAGCGCTATTTTAAATTACTACATTCCCAAGAATCAGTTTATCAGCTTTTGAATATCATAATCCAACAATAGTGATTGAAGATTTAATTTTGAAAAAAGATTACAATAAAAAAAGTAAAATCGATAATATGATATCACTAAAATCATTAAAAAATTCTTTAAAAATCAGTACGAATTGTTATCAAGATTTAACAAGAAATCTTCTTCAACAGATTAAATTTACTCTTCGATTCATCCATTCTTTATATAAATAATAATAATATATATAATAATAATAATAAAAATAATAAAATAATAAAAACTGAATTTCTATTATTCTTGTTAAGAATTATTTTGTTAAGAATTATATCTCCATTATCTCCATAATTGTTATTCAATTTTCATCTTAACAACATTTGATCTTTGCGAACTTAATCCAATCTTAATCAAAAGTAATTATAAGTTTGCTTTCGTCCTATGTACAAATAATATTTGATATACTTACCAATTAAATGGAAATTCATTCTTCCTTAAATCTTTAATGATATTCGAACATAATATTTAGTTATTTAAATTAGAGAAATCATAAAATTTTCTTTATTTCTAAACTCGTAGTAATGATTTCCATTCTATAATCCTCTCTCATAAAGTATTTGGTTGTAAATTGTTTATAGTTGGAATATAAATAAGATGCTTTCTAAAAAATAGAGCTTCCGAAAATCTCAATTCATTATGGATGAACATGTAACATATTTCATCTTCCGTGCGAACGCGAACAATTTGAAAAAACAGTCACAAAAGAATTTTGGAACACAAAGCTGAATTTTTAATCCCTTATTATTTCATTTTTCTTACAAATGTTAATCTCATAATAAACCTTATTGCAATTGTAACATTATAGTACATTATAGTAACATTATAGTACTTCGAGCATATTTATTATCATTATCATTTTTTAGGATTGAAATGATAGAAATGTCACTATAATTTTGAGAAACATTTAAGTCATTATGAGAATTCTCTAATATATGTATATTGATTATATAATTTATTGCGCCATCAATTAACAACTTTCAATGAATCAACTGCCTATTCATTAAATCATACTTAAGAAAACTAAAACTGATTATTAATTTCTACAAACAATATCTCTATTTATCAATTTTTACTTTAATATTAAATTTAATATCCTATCGATATTATATTTTATAATAACTCTACTTTTGATTTTTTAATTAAATTATTTATATACTAAACTTTGTATATACATTGATTGTATTAATATCATTCCAATATAATTTATTTTGAAAACTATTCATAAAGTTTTATAACCGTGAATTTAACCATTTCCGTTCCAATTTAATATTAATATATTAATTATTTAATTATATAATAATTATTAATTATATTACATAAATAATATAATATATTTTCGATTCATTATATATCAATTATATTAGGTGTCCCATAAGTTTCTTTATTTTTTTGATACGAAATGAATATACAATTTTTATTGTTTAAGATTGATTTATTGCATTATATGTGAACCGTTCTCCTCTATCATCTTCTTCCATCTCTCAGGAAGCCTTTATTGCCTCTTTCAAAAATTTTTGGGGCTTGCTTGCAAAATATTCAGCGAAATTTTTATTTCACTTACGGATTGAAACTTATCATGGAGAATTTTTTAACGACAGAAACAAGTAATAGTCGGATGGATCTGAGTACGGAAGATGCAATAGAACGTCTCAATCAAACTGTAACAGCTTTTGTCTTACAGTCAATGTAACATGCGGTTTTGCATTGTTATTGATGAAAAACGATAATTTTGGCCATTTTTCTGCTATAGCTTTCAATTTTCTACTATGGCTCTCAATTTATCAAGCTCATTATTTAGCTCAGTATTTAGCAGAATTGATGGTTTCACCTTGCGGAAGGAGTTCATAGTAGAATACACATTTCCAATCCCACTAAATGGACAAAAGAACTTTCTTCGGATGAAGTCCAGGCTTTACGACAGTTGAAGGTCTATTATTCTTGGACAAAATGCGTTTTCGATGCACATTTTGATACAAAATCCAAATCTCATCTCCAGTGACAAATCTCTTTAAGAAATGATGTTGCTGGAGAAATAAATCGCACGTAAAGACGCGGTTTTTAAGGCCAGTCTCCATCAAGAGCTGTGGAATTCAAACTTCATATGATATATCCTATCTTAATCAGGTGATTATGTACCGTTGTTCTGAGAATGTTAATGACATTCATTATATCTTATATACTATATTACGGATTTTCAGCAAGCATGGCCTTGATAAGATCCGTATTCGTTGTTGCTGCGGTCTCCATCTTTCAAATCAAAATTGTCAACTTTAAATCTCTTAAATTGCGGACGGTCGTAATAATCATAGCACTACTCTCATAAACGGTACAAATCTTGTCTGCAGTATCATTTGCACTATTATTTTTTTTAAAGCAATGAAGCATAACATAGCACAAATACTTCCTTTGGCTATCTATATTGAATAATATAAAAAAAAGTTTTAAAAGATACTGTGTCATCAACAAAATATACTTTAAAAAAGTTTTGAGACGACTGAAAAAGATACCATAGACGACAAATAAATAAATCTGTTTATATAAATATAGCCACTCAAAGTCATTCTTAGTATGATGCGAAAGAAACTTATGGAACACTCTAATATATTACATTATAGATTTTATATTTATATTTATAATTATATTTTAATATATTTTATTTTCTAATATAAGCAATATTATTTAATATTATAGTGATACCTATTTTTGTACCTAGCTTTTTGCCTACTTAAATATTAAGTATTTAAGTATTCGTCGCTATACTTATCAATTTTTGAAAACTTTATAATTGTTTTCGACATTATCAAATTAAACATTTAATGCTTAAATTTATGTATTTTGTTGAATATATGATATCTCACTTACATTTCTTTTTTTTGCTCATTTATAAACTATTAACGCTGAAAAATGAAACTCGACGTCTATTTTGCATGTGTCGACTATTAATACTTCATATTAATATCTCATATTTTATTCTTTTCTTTCATTCAATTGAATTTCATAGAAATCATTTAATCAAATAAGAATTTTATTTTCGATTCTAATTGCAAACGCTAAAGTAAGTATTATTATATATTTTTATTCTATATATTTTTTTTTTATATATTTTTTTATATTTTTTTTATATATTTTATACTATATTTTTTATATATTTTATATATATTCGTTCATAGAGTTAAAATAATCCAAAACACTTAATAAATTCATTCGAGACATTTTGCTGATTATTCAATTTTTGACTTATATCTGTGTTTTTCCATCTATTTGCTTATTTTGTCTATATTTAAATTACAAAATTTATGATCTCAAGAGATAAATCTGATATTTGATTAAATAAGTTTATTATTTTTTTTATTTAACCTATTTATTAAAAATATATATTATAAATTATTTTACTTTCATCACATCAATTTTATGATCTGATTTTATAAAACGTTTTACTTTAGCTTTGTCTCGTTTTCTGTAACAAAAAAATATATCATTATAATTTAAATATTTGATAAAAAGAAATTATAAAAAAATATATAACAGTTACATACACATGCACGCCACATAGAAATATGAATATTTAAATTATATTTTAAATATTTAAATTATTTTAAAAAAATATAAAATTAATGTGATTAAAATAAATATATGTATAATTGAAAAATATATAATTTTATATGATTTTCTATGATTTTATAATTTAATTATAAAGTATCTTATACTTACAATCTGATATTAGCAGGAGCAATGATATTTCTTTGTTGAAGAGATTTGAATCTATCTTTCAATAAATTACCAGTTGGTTCAGAATTCCGCAAATTTCCAGTTAATTCTGAACCTAATTTAAAATCAAGTTCTAAAGGTTCAAATTTAATTTTACTGAGAGTTTTAGTACCCATTGTTTTAAGTATTTTCTTTTTTAATCTCTTTTCTTGTAATACTTTTTCTTTCTTTTCTTTAGCAGCTAACTGTCTATCTAATAATCTTAATTTATATATATCTGAAATCTTTTTTTTCTCTACTTTTTCTTGTTGCTTTTTATGTACCAAATTTTTCTGTTCTTTTTGTTTACGTCTTTGCACACGAGTTTTTTTTTTATTTTTAACAGCTGGATTTATAGATTTTACTATTGGATCATTATTTTCATCTTCATTAAAATCTTGATTATCTTCTAATTTGAGACCTTCTGACATTTCTTTTATCAAGTTACTTTCTTTTTCTTTAGGTGAAACCTAGAATATAATTTTAATGTATAATAAAATTATACATTAAAATATAAACTGTTATTTTTTACGTATGTTATGTATAATTATACATTATACATAAACTGTTTATTTTTAATTTTATAAATTTAATTAATAAAATAATACCTTTTTGAACATTTTTGTGGTAACTCTGTTCAGATGTTCTTCTTTTTTTATAAGTTCCATTTCTTTTTGAGCCACTTCATGTAATAACTTTTGATGATCTTCAAATGAAGGATTATAAGATATACCTGGATGAGGAGCTTCAACTGCTGGAATATTAGAAGGTTTTTTGTGTAAAGAAGAAGGTACTCTCTTTTTTTTTATTCCAAAATATGTTAATGTATGTCTAATTGTGTCCGAAGACATCCAATCAATATTAATGTCTTTCATAATTTTTTCTTTCCATATATTTGTATTAAATTCACCTCTTTTTGGTTTATTTAATTTTTTTTTTGCTGCAATCATTTTGTTTTTTAATCTTAACTTTTCTTTTAATGTCAAAATATTTTGAGATTTTCTGATAGCTTCTTTTTTTAAAACTAATGCATTTTTTCTTTCATCTTTAGTTCTTACACGGTTTCTTTTTGTTATTGGATCTGGAACAGCTGTATGAGGTTTTAAAATATTAAAACATCGTGGTTCTTTCAATTTTAATATTTCTCGACGTTTTTGCTTTGAAAGTATTTCAGGTGCTGTAGAAATACTAAACAATTCTGAATCCTTGTGAATCGCGAAAGAACCTAACCTTTCTTCTAATTGTGAATTTTCCAAAAATTTTTCAACATCTTTTGTATCTGTATATTTACGCCATGCTTTTTTTGTTTTTTTAGAAACTTTACGCTTCTTCGTTTTAATTGCAGCCATTTTATCGTGATCAATAAATCTATACCATTCACCACAGTATTTAGCTTTATAATGTGATTTTCAATTCGAGCTTAGAGTTGCAAGAAAAATTCCCTATTGCAGAAAAAAATAATATAAAACCATATAAAACTATATTTTATTTTTTATTTTTAAACATATATGAGAATTAATAATACTAGATTTTTATATATTTATATATACAATTATATATATATATTAATATATATATATATTTATATTAATTATTTATATTAATATATTTATATTAATATATATATATATTATATATTATATCATTGTATATATTTATATTTATTAAAGAAAATATCTTGACAATATTATGTTTCAAATTTTTTTATTTTTGATAATTCTGACTGCCTCTTGTTGAAAATAAAACATATATCTTTTTTTTAGACTTTATTGGATTTAAAACTTTATTTCTAGACTAGAACTTTGAAGATTTTTTTTTTATAATTATATATTATATTAATTATATATAGTCTCCAAAATATAGAAACATTCATTAACTAGAGATTCCTAATATAATTTTAATAGTAATATTTTCCTTTGGAAAAATATTCGTTTCGATTTTGTTAACGAGTTATTAACAAAAAACACTAACCTAATCAAACCGCATAGCATTGACTATACCGCCAATCGACCATAAATAAATTCAAGCAATATATAACGAAATATATATATTTGAATATAATAAATATTTTTTTTCGATACAAAATTATATCAAATTATATTATGAACAATAAATAAATTATAATATTCAATATAATATATAATATATAATATTCAACTATATGCGTTCAACTCTATGCGTTCTATGATTAGCTAGTGTTTTTTTGTTAATAACTTGTTAATAAAATCATTCCGAAATCTCCAATTAATGAATAATCTTATATTTTTAAAACATTGTATACGAAATTGATTTAAACAACAGAACAATAATTTTCAATTATTAAATAATAATTTAAAAATCATATTTTATAAATAGTAATTTAAAAATTTATTTTATTTCAATTTTTGTTATTTCAATCTTTTCAAGAATATTAGAAAAAATTTATTAAAATATTTTTTTAATTAATGAATTATATCTTAGTTCGATATTACAAAACTTAAAAAAAAATAAAAGCTCTTTAACAATTTAATTGTCTACTATGCATATTCATTTCATTCATTTAAATGAATTCAAATTTAATAAAATGAAATGTAAACTTGTTTTTGAAATTCTTAATAAAAGTTATTTGCTTCATTAAATATTGATTAAATATTGCTTCATTAAATATTACATTATTATATATATGTATATTATACATTGTATGTATATTATATATATGTATATTATA